CTGGCTATAGTCCTCCCACACAGGTATATTTTGATTGTTTTTAATACATGTGCTTGTTCTCACCTGCACACAGAGTGGAAGGGAAGTTTCTCAATATCAGAAGATTAGGGGCAAGGCATTACATTTCCAGATCAACTGATCTGCTTGTTCATGGTTCAAAACTGCTTAAGGTAGAGATAAGAGAGAACTAACAAACAAAAGTACATCAAAACATTTGTGAAAAAAAAGCTAACTGAGGCCCTTAAAATGGGACTTTTCTAATTTGAAATGTGTTTGTTAGGACATGGCTAATTTGTTAAAATATTCCAAGAGGTTTCAAATCTTAGGCTTTCATCAGGGCAAACTGGAGATGGCTGCCAGGGACCTGTTAAGAAAGGGTTTTCCCAGTGTCACCTGGCCAGCTGACAGCTTTTCTAGGGTCCAGGATAACAGAGTCTTTTTGGGGTCCCCCTCTACACCCCCCGCACACAGACACACACCCAAACACACATATACTTGTTCTGCCGTAGTGAGGACCATGTGTTCAGTCCCATTGACTTCCACTGATTTTAAGTTATTTTCAACTCTTTCTATGCCCTAACCCCAAAACTAACCCTAAACCTAACCATTACCATTGCATACCTTACCCTAACTCTAACTCAATTGACACCTTACCCCTAAATCTGATTAGCAAAATAGCATGTGAGGACCAGCTAAATGTCCTCACTTTGCAACAACTCGTCCTCAGTCTGATGGTGAAGTTAAAAAAAATTGTCCTCAGTTTGAGGGCTAGACAAGTATACACAAACACACACAAAATAGTCAACTTACCTTAATTCTCCTTTGCCTATTATTTTATTAAATAATCTGCGAATTGACAGAAATATTTTTTTGTCCTCCAAACAAGTCATAGATTACTTTATAAATGTACAACTTTGTCTCCAAATGCCAAACAGTGAACTTTTTTAGTAGTAAAGTAATTTATGATTTCTTTAAAGTCTAATTTCTTGGCAAGCTGATGCTCTATAGACAGCATTGCCAGACAATTGAACCTTTCCTGGAAAATCCTAGAGCCCAGGTAGATTTTTATTATCTTTATTTTACTGAAGGCCTGCTCACCTCCAGCCAGTCACAGGTAGATAGGAAATCTGAATCAACATTCGCTTGTATTTATAAGAGATAACAATCATAAGTGTAGTAAGAATAGCCTTAAATCCCATATATAAAGTCTTGATGAATCAGAATTTTTTAAAACAAAAAAGAACCCAAAAAGCCTAAATAGTTTGGTGATATTTTTAGTCGAAGCAATATTGTCTAAAGATAAAGTTCTTCCATAAACAACAATTTTGCTTACACTTTAAATGTAAAATACTTTTGTTAAAATTTTCATTGTATAATAATAATAATAATGAAAATAAAAATCTAAAACATTTCGTTTAACAATTTATATTTCCCACAAGACCACAAATTATCCTCTCTGCTCAGTAAGGGTACAAATACTGTTTTAAAACACGTGCATTTATGTGTCAGACGTGGATCAAAAATTAAGTGAGATTTTGATACATATCAAACTTACCCAATGTAAAGGGACTTGCTAGTCTTGTTTTTTTTTTCTATTTTCTTCAGCTCTCCTTTTTCTGACTCCCTGTCTATGTTTTTTTTCCCGTCCCTGCTCTGTATTCCTCTGCTGTTTTAGTGGCCATGTTTGTATTGGGGGAAGCCCCATGACTAATTATTCTGCACAACTGTGATTTATTGTTGCAATGAAGGAGAAGTAATCCACCTCATCAGTTCAGCACCTCAGACGTCTAGTAATAGTCAATATTGTGGGAAGCAGTTTCTAATCCCTATAATGTTTTTGTCTCCCTTGTTATGACTCATAAAGAAGATTAAATACCTCAAATCCTCCTTCAAGGATTTCATCATGTTTTTGCTTTGATTTTTTGGCCTACATGCCACTTTACCCTGCTTAAATATTTATAATTATTATCCAAAACGAGTTCACTCTTTAGCATGCTTATGTTGCCAGACAGATGACTACAAAGTGGTAATGCTTACGAATACATTTTTCAGGGCTTCTCCAATGACAATCCAAACCACAGCTAGATGTCTCATACATCAGCAGCAAAGATCTTTTCTTCTTTTATGAGCTTTTTAGCTTCATGATAGTCTGTTTTGAATTGTCTCTTTTAAATGTATTAATGCTTCTTGAACCTTTCACAATCGATCATGTTAAAACATGATTGAAATCGGACCAACCTGTAACTGTAATTCTTTGGTCTCTATGGTAATGTTAAACATGCTCTTAGAATAAGCAACCACAAAAAAAACGAGGTGAATCAGTGGGAGCCCTGAGCTATCCTGGAATGAGGTGGTAGGAGTTTACAGCGGGAGGAATCAGGTCACCCACAGGCCAACATACTGTACGTCAGGAGTACAGTATGGAATGACTATGACCTGGATGACTGAGAATCTTCACCAGCATAGTTCAGGTGTGGTTTCTAAGGTTTTCTTTTGTGTCATCTCTGTATTACACTTTACCTGCATGGATTTAGTCACCTGAGATGCATCATGAACTCACCTTTTTAAAAGGCATGGAAGATACTGATTCTTAAACAGGTCATTAATAGGAGTGGAAATTCTTGTTTCTGACTTTCCATGTTAATCCCTCAGCTACATAGAAAAGTTCTCTTCACTCTGTGAAACGGGTCTGAGTATTACCTCTTGAAATATACCTAGAATTCCCGCCTCCACTAATGCCTTCCTCCAAATCCTTATTTTTTTTTTCTTTTCTAAGACCTGCCCAAATACAGGATTGTATTTTACCCAACCACATCCAAGTACGAAACACTAACCTTCAACTAAACCAACCAGAAATAGACTGACTTATTCATTAATCTATTCACACTCAACATTGACTTTGTTGTCATCCTTAAGGGGAAATAACATCCTAGTTCTGAAACAAAATCACAACCTTTTTAATCCTCTTAAAACTTTTTAAATACCTCTTTACATTTGTTTCTAATCTCACAATAAGCACACAATTATAACAACTTTTTTTTTTTATTTTGGTCCAGGCTCAACTTTATGTAGCTTCATCCATCTTTACATAAACTCTGGTCGACCTCCATGTTTATGATACAGTACATCCAAATACTGCAAAGAACAGGTTTCACAGTTCAGTTTCATTTTCCAGATGTTCGCCATGTTACCTTGACTCGTGGTAAACTGTAAGTGGAACTTTTACAAATTAAAGGCCAGATATCTGCTGTTCCTCCAAAGTTTCCTTGAGGCACTATAGGCGCTCCTTAGGTCAATACTCTTTTTGCCTGTTCTTTCAGGTTCAGTAGATGGACATGTCAGGATCACAGTTGCACCATGCTCTTTCTATTTTCATAGGACAATTAATGTTTAAAGCTTTACCTATCTGGTGTGTTCCCTGGTCTTCATGATGCTGTTCGTCCCGTAATGATTTGTAACAACCCTTAAATAGTTTTATTCATACAAAATTAAAATTGACTTACACCTAAATAAAAGCCATTTACTAATAATGGGACTTTTGAAGGACAAGTGTTTGCACTGTATTTTATTTGTGGGAATCAGAGTAAAGGGGTAAAATAAAGTTTACATACAATTAATGGATGCAAGGATTATTAGATGTTTACTAGTCAAATATAATATATCCTTTTCCTTCCACTTTATCATTCTTTTATAATAATCACATAAAATTGATATAACACACAATTAACCTTTTAATTATTGGATGACAAAATTAGGAAATGTTAAAAAAAGTATGAAAGCTTTTTTGCAGAACAGGATATATATCACTTAAAGGGAGGTTTTGGTTTGATCAAATTATTTTACATGCTTAGATAAAAAAATAAAAAACATTGCAGATCCAGGATCGGTTTAATCTTGAAAATGGTCCTCTTTAAAAGAAAAAATAAAATAAAATCAGGAAATAAAAGATTTTTGAAATAATGAATTTACATTATATTTTCAATATTTGTTATTTTGGCAGATTATTTTTTTTACCTCCTTCATCTAAGACTTTCTAAAGATATACAAAAAAAAAACAAAAAAACAAAAAAAAAAAACATTCTCTTATCAAATTTTCCTGATGCCTCAGGTGGAATTTCTAAAGGTAATTAATATATATATATATATATATATATATATATATATA